TTGTCAGTACAGTGACGTTCTTATAGGCTTCGAAGTATCGTAAGACAGCACCGCAGAGAAATTAGTCCCTTCTAGTGGCGAATCCTACGGTGTTGCCTAGACAAAGTAGGCAAAGTTTGACCGCAGGAACTAACCGTCTGACCACTCTTCCAACCGATTATATCTCTTTCTGATAAGCGTACTGGCAGTCCGACAATAGATTGTGAACTTTTGGAAATTTCACTCATTCGTTCCTCATGACCATCTCAATGACGTTCTCAATTGTCTGCGTCGGACTTATGGGCCTGTACTTTATCGCCTACGCCCGACCACCACTTTTGTTTTGGACAGTAATGTGCCCAGGCTTCCGGCCTGAAGAAAGTGGTGCGATATCTACCGAGCTTACAGGTACTATTGGTGGAGTAAGGAAAGTTCACTGACTCTTTTAATGCTTCCAACTCCCTTCTAACAAAATCTTCTGAAAAGAGAGTATTGCTTAAGATGGGATTCGATATGTTTATCGAAGACGCAGGAAGGAATCTTTCGCCTTTTTGTAGATCAGCAAAAGCTGTTGATCCATAAGTCTTTTTCCAGTAATCGTGCGAGTCCTAGTAGTCTCTTTCTAGATGAGTCGATATCACTCCGCGTATTCCTCCGAATGTATGTGAGGAGCAATCTAAGACTCTTGCGCCGCATCTCACAGGAAAGTATCTTTAAAATGTTGACGCACATTTGCGATAGTGCATTTAGGTTTGTTTCACTGTAAACTGTGATTGGCAATCTGTATCTGTCTAAACAACTCATGAGCTCCAACAAGTTTTTAGGGCAGAGTTACCTAAGTCATTTGTATACCATTTTACTGCTGACAATTTTTACTGTCCGTTAACGTCAGTATCTTACTATCTGGCGTGTAACCGAAAGGGTTTTCAGAGGCATTGTCATAATCCTTATTAATGAAACAGAATACACTGAAACTGGAATATTAGACTTGCTTAGTAGCTCAGTATTTCCGTTGTATCTTAATTCTTTCAGTGGATAAAACTTACTGTTCATTGGTTCGTCTATAGTAACACGCAAAAGGAGAGTTTACCACAGTTTAAATCGGCTTAGATTCACTTACACCTTTCCTTCGCGTCTCTTATAGTGAATGACACTCCAACAGCGATGTGGGGATATCAAAATTTAAGTAATTGACGTTGTCAATTAATAGAGTAGGGTCAGGTAGTGAGTCCTAGGAATATATCCTTCAGTTACCGTTGGCATCTGTTAGGTACCGATATGTACACATTTAAAACAACTGATTGAAAAGTTTTGATTCGACTCAGTAGATTACGACAACGCCTTTTTTAGGTTTTTATGGAAGACGCTGACATTGAGCATTATGGCATGTTTTCTTAACGTCTATATAAAAGGTATGCAAAATAGTTCAATATTAAGCCCCTTCAGCGTCCCATTTTTCGTCGACTAGCTGTCAGTTGACAGTCCCGAAAATTGAGCTAATCTCTAGTAAGTCCGCAAACGCACGCCCATATTTCATGCCTACCTGAGGCGTTCCTCAGCCATCTGTTTCGAGTAATGGCCGCACCCACACACTGGTGTCATCTCACGTTGGCCAGCCGGCCTGCTATGTTACCCATTGACCCTGGAGATCATGGAATTCGGGACCCGCCCCATGAACTAACTAACCATATGTTCGACACTTCGTCAATCCTGTTTAATGCTGGCGCGAACATGTCAGACACAGATAAAAAAGACATCGAAGCTTTCGAGTTCTCGAACGGACTTCTTGCCCTGATCTGCTAATCCACTGCTCACCCCCGACAACCTTTATGATGTATAAAATTAACTATCGCGGCCCTCCGACCTCTTCCATTATACGGATGGAAGTTATTGTGCCCAACCAAAGTTGATCTTTTATCTTCGATCCGCAAATTACCTTCATCAGCTGCTCGATTCCAGCGTCTGAAACAGAATTCGAAGTCTGTTTGTTAGGAGATGTTTATCAGAGAGTAGGCCACATTGTTCTATAAAACGCATCAGCCTTCAAATAACAAGCATTCATTAATTCTGTAACGAGTAGAAATGAGATTGAACGATCTGTAACTACATGCGTGCAAATAGTTGCCCCATTATATATCTGTATACTTCCACTAGAACTCCAATCAAAGGACAAGCAACCACCTCCAACAGAGGCTTGGAAAAGCATATTGAGCGGTTTAAACAGTTCGTCAGCGATATTGTGGTTTCTTGCTTCAACTTTAAGTCAGATATTGTTAGTGGGTTAGGTGGAAGAGTAGTTCAAACATCTGAATCTGCGGTTTATAAAGTCGGACTGGTGTTTTCGGTAGCTTCGTCAACCGGGCGGCGCCTCAAACAAATTACTCACCAGTTTTAAAGACGGCCTTATGTGCAGGGTACTGTCCTCAGTGCATTTTCGCGTTGCAACAATTCAAAAGGAATTCACCTCTTTCGTATAACTCTATAGTTTCAATGTCCGCGACTTTGACACTTCGTATACCATTTTTGTTTTTGATCATTTCGATATAAACTTCTATCTCCATCCTTAGTTGCAATGCTCGTCAGTTTCCCGTCCATTTTTTTATTGTTGCCGTGCTTGGCCAACTTCAGTGTTTATTCCTTTTTCTCGTACTTGAAGTAATGCGTGTTGTAACAGCATTTTCTCTCTGTACGTAATATGCTTCGCGATTTTTAGATCTGTAGTAAGTGTTCAAGTGATCTTTAGGTTTACAGTTTTTCGTGCGAAAATGTCTTTTTATCGCAAATTTGAATGTTGGACTTAAGAATTACATTTCTCATGTCTTCTTGTGGATCTCGATCGTTGCTTTAATGCGATCTGCATTGCCTCCAGACTCTCACCCCAATTAAGATCAAGCATTGAACCCCAATTGAAATCGTGCGGTTTAACTTTTCTTGCCAAAACTAACTCCGAATTACTTTATCATTTGGACAAGGGCGGCGTACTTTTTATCATGATCAGCCCCAACTTGAAACCTTCCACTTCAAGGGTAGTTATGAGAAAAAACGTTTGGCGCGTGGTTTGACGTACGAGCTCCGGGAGTGCATTTGCTCTCGCGCGGTCTTAACTAACGCTCCGAAAGATTCGTATAGAGAATTCAGCCAAAGTGTCGCGCTATCCGGAAATTTGTATTTTATCATTACATTATTGGCAAATTGGTAACGGTCAAAGAGAATAGTAAATTTTAAGAACAATTGTATTTTATGTTTGGACGCACTTTATTATTTAATTATGGCTGGGCTTAACTAAACGCCTGTTCGACACGAGCATACTTTACTGAATGTTTACGTCAAATAATGTACTATGAATCTTAGTCGCCCGACTACAGTTGCAAATTAAAACGCTTTACTCAATGAATTGCCTCGTTCGTTTGAGTGAAACACCGATAAATCTTCCTAATTCTTTGCTCTATTTTTGAAAACATTATAACGTTATCTAGATTATCATCAAAAACCTTTCCCCTGCACTACCAGCCCCGCCTCGTCACTTCTCTGCAGCAGTATATTCTACTTTGACCTCATAATCTTCCTTAAATACTTTTTTCTATTTAATCTCACATTAACACAGATGTCAACCGATTAAGTTGGAGTATTTGCGTGATTTAATAGTCCGTTAGACCCTGGGGCCTTTGCAATGACTGACAAAGTTTACAAAATAACCTTGGTCATATTTCTTAAACCACGTTTCAATTGCAATTGATTCATATAATGAAATGCTTACTTCCATGCTAAATACCATGTTTAATTGCAAAAATCAACCGATTCAGCCAAGAGTTATACTTCCGGCGCTTGCCTACATAGGAGTCTGTCTGCCTGCAGGGAATTTAAATTTTTTGAGGTTTCGAAGACGAAAATACACTTAACGAGATTGGATACCCATAACACAATTTACCTATGGAACTTCAGGCATGGATTTCGAAAATTGCCAGTTTAGGAAGGAAAACCAGAAGGCTCATCACGTTTTACGATTAAAGAACTTAATTTAGAGAGACTAGAATAAGACGAAATGGGAGGAACGCAATGTAAACCAATGTGTTTAACGGCCAATATACTAGAAGGATTGTGTCGATTGTTGTACTTTGCGTTATTGCAAGTCCAATGGCAGTCCAGTGCATTAGCTTTGCCACGGAACATTGATTAAAGTTTTGGGCAACTTGTTAACTTTTAAGACTGAGAAAAACGTTCTGAGGTTAAATCTGTTCAGGTTTCGCTGGATCTCATTAGGAAAACTGTGAAGTAGTCTGTCTCATGATATGTGCTTTAGTGTTGATTGTTCGCATAATTTATATTTATGTATAAGTTGCGTAACTTAGTTAATTCTATAAAAAATCTGTTCTAATTTGAGTAAATCTTTGGGGTACTACATAGTATTTTTGTCCATTTTCACTGTTGCTGTTAACATGTACGTTAGCAGATAGAAATAATTACTTTGGCTTATATTTTGGCTAATTTTGAAAAACATTTATCAGGGGCACATTTATTTTCGTTTTTCCGCAGGATTCTCTATTCTATGAAAATAGGATGCTTACTATAGTATAAACGTTTACCTATCATTTTTTACTTTAACTGTGATTGCATTTCGGCTGAAATTTTTCTTATATTTAGTTTCTTGTTTGCTTCGTGTTTTAAACAAAGCCCGGCGCTTTTACCGGCAGTCTATTTAATGTTTGATTTTCTCTTTCTCTCAATATATATATATATATATATATTGAAAACAGGAAGAGGTTCTTCGGAAAAATCGAGTTGTACTCGTGAATTTTCGAGTAGGTGACACCAACCCGTCGTCAGACGAAATGAAAACAGGGGAGGAAGTTTGTTTGTCACACTGGACTAGTTAGCGCGACAGGACAGACAGACTATCGGCCTATGAGAGGGATGATCACAAAGTCATGGTAGGTCTCTGAGCGAGGGGGGAAGTGGAACAATTATGGATGCCTGTGCTGGAGGGGGAGGGTGTAATGGTGGATCAACTGGACTCCGGGTGGCTAGATTGGCGGCCGTTGCTGTGGCATTAGGGCGGGCGGGGCAGTAAGTCGTGAGCGTAGGCCCTCGTAATGGGCGTCCAGGTCAACATGGCGGTTGATACTACCAGCATCGGAGTACCAAGCCTCGAGAAATTCTCTGGCCCGTTTTGTGTTAGCCATGGCGACGACCTCAGTGCCATCCCAACTGAATCGGTGGTCGCACTCGAGTGCGTGAGCAAAGACGATGGACAGAGGGTCTCGCCGACGGACAGCCAGTTTGTGTTCATTAATACGGGTGCCCAGGCTTCGACCTGTATCAACCGCCATGTTGACCTGGATGCCCATTACGAGGGCCTACGCTCACGACTTACTGCCCCCCCGCCCTAATGCCACAGCAATGGCCGCCAGTCTAGCCACCCGGAGTCCAATTGATCCACCATTACACCCTCCCCCTCCAGCACAGGCATCCATAATTGTTCCACCTCCCCCCTCGCTCAGAGACCTACCATGACTTTGTGATCATCCCTCTCATAGGCCGATAGTCTGTCTGTCCTGTCGCGTTAACTAGTCCAGTGTGACAAACAACCTTTCTCCCCTGTTTTCATTTTGTCTGAAGACGGGTTGGTGTCACCAACTCGAAAATTCACGAGTACAACTCGATTTTTCCGAAGAACCTCTTCCTGTTTTCATAATATCGACTCGGAATGCATAACACATCTGATCTACATATACATATATATATAGGCAGAATGATATTACCGACAAAGACAAGGGCGACTGGAATGGCCATTTCTGGCTTTTTAGCCGTCGTCATCAGCCATACCCAAGCCCGAAATGTGGAACACCCGAGCCTCGAACTCGCGACCTGTTGCTTTAGAAGTCGACGCCTTTACTCACCGGGCCACGAGCCCGTTGCCCTGCCGGTTTTCGGTTTTGTCGGTAATATCATTCTGCCTATATATCATGCGCCGCTGTGCGGCTGCTGATTGGGCTCGAGAGAGAGAGCCCTTAAGGCACAACGGAACGAGTGAGTTCCGTATGAACGATCGGTGAGCGCCCCCTAACATTATATATATATATATATAAGCTTTTGAGTTCCACAACATTACCGAGTTATGTTTACATTAACTAAATGACCCCTCCTGAGCTCCCTCGAGAGATTCCGCCCGGATCCCGGCTCGAATTAGAGGGTAGAAAGACAAGCTGACTTTGACGCCTAATTTCTCTTTCTATGAGAAGGAAGTCTGTTTAGATATTCTTCAGCCTCTGCGCACGTTTGTTTCCGCGTCACCTGCCGTTGAAAAGTGGTCCTCTATCCATCAAAAAGCAAGCGTTGAATCTGGACAGTAAAGAGACATATAGTGGAGCATATCCTTGCAGATAGTGCGGTACACTGTCCTACAATTTTTATTCTCGAAGGCTTATTCTTAACGTTTTTTACCCACGTTTTATTTGCCCCTTAAACATAAAAGTATATTTATTAAAATCCATGTACTTATTCAGTTAATATAATGCTTTTTGGTAAAAGAGACCTATTTACATAGGATATTGTTGCCTATAACTTTGTATTTTGACATTTGCTTTTACGTCTTTACATTCGTGTGTGTCTGTACGTCCTGGCTTGCTAACACAGCACGTTTACTCACTCAAGGTCTACTATCTTACGTTATTTAATCCAGCTGACGTCCATGATTATGTCGAGGATTATCAGTTTGTCGCTGGCTCGAGCCAAACTCTAGTAAACGATCCATTTAGTTTGTTTTGCAAAAGCTAATTTAAATTGTTCTATTAGAATCCATGTAGAGCTCGTTTCATTTAGAAATCCCTGTGGGAATTTTCAAGAAAGGCTCAAAAAATAGTAGCGAACATTTGTAAAAGTTAATCTAGCAAAGACGATAAACTTATCGACGGTTTGTGGGAAAAGCCCCATAAATAGCAGACCACGCAAACATAACAGATGATGGTTGTTAAAGCAGACATGCTCTTAACTGTATTTGAATCCCCGGTGCGGCCGATGGCCATTGCGGCTTCCCTACGTCCACTAATCTTTACTTTCCACTAATTTGCGTTTGCATTTTATTAATGTTAACAGCATAAGACGGTTGTTTTTAGGATAGCCAAAAAACCCTCATTACTTTGAAAGTTTTTAAATAAAAAATACAGCAAAATGGCCTTATCAAACAACAAGGTTTTCACTATTCGGACCGAATCGTCTAGTTATGTGAATCACCGGCAACTTCATCTTGTAATATTATAGATTTAACGACATGCATTCATGTTGACTGATCTGATTTTTATAGGATGCTTGTCATTACGGTTTCCCAGGAAAATGCAACAGTTCTTCCTGTTTTAGGCTTCCGGATCATCTAGCAGTTACCTTTGCACTTCAATTTGAAATAATGATCCGCAACTTACTTAAGCGCATTCAAATATAAAATTATTCTTTGACACCGGTATTTGCTTTCTCCGCCTTCAACAGCATTACCGCGAAAAGTAATGAACGTACAATTATGGCACTGATCCTCGTTCTCTAGTTCTCACCAGTTTCATTTGCGCGAAATGGACCTATTATTAATCTTGTTTGTTTTTAATTCCATGAGATCCTTTTTCGGGAGATCAAAAAAATAAACTAGATTAACCATTGTCAGCGCTTGAATTCATTTTTTTCAGAGACAATTTTTACGTGTGGGAAAATGATTTAAAAATAAGCCTGACGTGGGTTAGGAATTGTATACGGTGAAATCATGAGGGACATGACAATATACCCCAAGGATTATTATTTTCTTAAATTCCAGTTGTCTTGTGAGTTTTTCTCCTTCCAAAGTTTCTGTCAGGGATTTTCACAGGTCTGCACGAATGAAGAATGATTTCACCTTTGGTTTCCGTTCCTCCTCGTTAGGTGATGCTTTATTTCTCATGACTGCAAGGCAGGTGGCCTACATTAGCTGATTTTCCAAACGTTAATCAAATAGCGGCTACTGATACCAGGCATAACTTGATTATTTTTCCTTCCAGTATTTGAGGAAGCGCGTGCCACTTCGCAAAATGATTATAATTCGTCTGCAGATATTGAATACCGTAGTAAATTTTTGTCTGATCACATCTCCATGAGTGCACTTGATTTTACTCGATATTACTTATTTTTTGTTGTCATTTAATTTACTATACTTCAGAATAATGCAGTTGTGGAACTGAAGTAAATGAAAAGCTTTAACCACAATTATGATGGAGTGCAATAAAGTGGCTTACAACTCTGGCCTACGCTTGACAAATCATCGTCCTTCCATGCCTATGCTATCGAGTGGTCCTGGAAGTTTTCCGCCCACACTCGCTGAGGGTGTCCAATTGCCCAGACCTACTACAAAGTATGCCAAAGAAGCGCTACGGCCTTTGCAACAGAGACCATCCTCTTTGAAAAAGTCCACCGCTAACTCCCCTGGCACCTGCCCGATGCTGCGAAGTCTGGTCATCCTGAATCCGGTGCCAGTGTGTGACGCTCCCACGCCTGTCGTAACGGCACCGCCGCAGCCACCACCACTTATGCCCGTCTTTTCTCCGATTCAACAGGATTGTTTCGGACAGGCCACCGCCACTGCCCTTCAACATCCCCCCTCCATGCTCTTTGGTTGTTCGCCCATGGATTACGCCGCGCGCTTCTATGTCAATGGAAGCATTTCTCAGGTCATCGAGGGTCGGGCTGCTGGTAAGAGAAAGCACACTTGCAGGGAACGTTTTTTTGAACCAGCTATCACTTTCGACCATTAGAGATTATGTGCAGGGTTACAAACGAGTGTTTGGGCGTTTTCACTGTCCTCCTTTAAGCTTAAGCCTCCTGCGGCTCATTCTCATCGGTTTTTTTACAAAGATTGTTTATCTTTGGTCCAGGACTCTAGTAAAACTTACCCCATTAGAATGATGATTAACGCCAAATTCAATGGGAAAGTCTCTGAGTACTAGTGCAGACTTGAAACTTTTCATTCGGGTCGATTATAATGCAAATGCGATTACCTGATGGCTGAAGTGTATTTCGTGTCAGGCCACTTTGGACGAATGTCTACTATTCCTGTAAAATATTGCTCAGCGTTTAGACCTTAAGCTACACTTTTGCGACAGCCACAGGGCAAATACTTGCAGGAATCTTTCCAGTTTTGAATCTTGCGAGGGAAAGTCTTCCATGACTACGATTGGCATAGTTGGCGGAACACGCTTATAAACGCAAATATTTATGTTAAGGGTCTAAAGCTTAAGGAAACTGTTAGCTCTCCAATTCCGTGGGGTGAGAAAATTCTCAACTAAAGTTCGTTTAGCTTCATGCATACCGAGATTGGAAGTAAGCCTCGCTACCTTAGTCAATCCCCACTGGAGTATCAAAATACCGACCATTCCACGTCAGAAGTGTAGAGGTTACCAAAACTGTCCTTCCTATTCTTGTTTTCGTGCTTGATGCAAACTAGTGTGCTGTGTTGTTCGTAATGAATTATTTCCCATTATCTGGGCGCATAGGGTGTGTACACGTTTCTCACGCGGGCCACTTCATGAAATCGGTTTCACTACCGTCATCCGTTTTTGCAAATTAAAAAGGAGTAAAAACACCTTATTCCAAGACCTTCCTAGTTTAAAATTGTTCTTTTCATCCAGAAATTAATGCGCCACTATTTCTTCTCCTTGGAAATTTCCGCGGAGATAAAGACTCATTTCATGCTTCACGCACAACCCTTCGACCATCGTGACCGATATCATCCACCGTATGTTCCACGGCAATTTTAAAGTCGTAGACGATTACTTTCGTGAGTTGGTTTAACTATAGTACATTGCGCTGTATTTACCGCACTCTTTCCCCCTCCCCCACTTGGACCCGGCGTCAAGAATACAGACGGCGAGAGAGGACGCAGGTAGCTGGCACGACGAGAATCCCGCAGCTAGGTTTGCCAACCCGCACCCTGGTCCGTAACGTACACTGACCAGCATTTTATGCAACAACAAAAGAGTGGGCGCGGCTCGGACCCTAACTGGCGCGACGTGGGCGTGCACGTGGGCGTGCCGCAACACTCTTGTTAGGGATGCACATTCCTAGTAGCGCCTGCCGGACCTCGATCTAGCTCTCATGTCGGGACAGGGTATCTACTGCGTCGCCCGTTGTAGGCCGACTTCGCGCCGTGACCGACGATGTCCACAGTGCGCCCCGCGACGAGATGACTTACGCCTGGATTAGATTATAGTGCTATTAGAGTTGCACTGCACCTACGTCATTCTCTCCTCATTCCCCACCTGGGCCCGGGGTCGAAACATAGTCGAGAAGACCAAAGATGAGAGAGGGCGCAGGTGGATGGCATAGTGAACGAAGC